GCCCATTTTCATTGCAGCCCAAATGATCGCGAGACATTCCTTTTCTACGACACTATAGTTCCTTTCCTCCGCCTTGAGCTTTAGATTGGCATATATGACTAGCCACCACTCGTCCTCCCACGCCTGTAACACTGCGCCCAGCCCGATGTCTGCCGTATCTGTTTGTACTATGAATACACTGTTCATGTCAGGAAGCTTTAATATGATCTTATTAGCAAGAATATTTCATAAAATATCATGGGAAATTTGTCACCAAGATGCTTTCGATAAGTTGAGTATAGATTTCCTTGTGAGATCAGTAAGAGGTGATGCAATCGTGGCGTATTACCCTGTCAACCCGCTAAAGATCCATCTTCCTTCTCCATAAGCGGTACCGAATGTTGATGACACGGCTTATCTTCTCGTTAGTGCGACGCCCCAAACACTGACTTTCCAATCTGTTTTCCATGGACGTGCTGTCAGCCCCGTATCTTTAAGTAGTTAACGCGCACTCTAACGTCTTTATGTGATCTTGCCAATTATCGGTATACAGCCAAGTCATCCCCTACATAGAATGGACAAATCACACAAATGTTAGCTTCAGGATATATGAAAATCCTGCCATTTGTCATTTCAATACTTACTTGTCTACATAGATAGTTTCAACATAGACCGTATTACACCCTTGATCTCGCCAAATCAAAACCTGGTTCTTCATACTAAGCCGACTAACAGTCATTACACGGATTAAAGATTTCCAGATTAACAAGTGAGGCGGCATGACATCCACAATATTTGAGCGGCCAACCGTAGATTCTTTTTTTTTTTTTTTACTCTGCCCATAGTTAAAATAAATTATTTATCTCAAAGGAGGTCCTCTCATGACCGGCTAGTTTTTGATGCCTCACTTGCACACATGTGGAGACTGGGGTAGCATTTCAAAACGAGCAGTGCTTTCTCCATGACGTTATCACCCTCAACATAGCACACCACTACAGTGCATGTTTCCCCCGAGGTGCAATCTGCCGTCACATCGTTAATCATGCTAAATTTGCATTTTAATAACTTTTCTAGTTTATGGGGGCGTACTGCCGTAGCGTGTGGCACTTTTTTTTTTTTTTTTTTTTTTTAACTACCGTCTGTGCCACGATCTTAGAATCAGGGAAACCTCCTTTTGTGTAGTGCCATCATATCACCATATACTGAAATATTGGGGAAAATGAAAATATAGTATGACAATCATTAATATGTTATCATACACTCGGATATTTTAATGTTCCCCTAGATGGCAAATTATATGACAATGTAATCGACTGGAATAAATTCTGTGAGGTTGACCTGATCTTGGTATCCCTGACAGCGGTGTCATTTAGGGGAGGGGGCAGGGGGGGCTACACTGGTCGTAACTCCAGGGGCCAGTTTTTCTTCTAATTACATGTATATAGATCTGAATCACTATTTTTTCTAATTTTTTTGTTCACTTGGCTCAGCTAAACCCTAGATTTCTAAACTAATTTTTTAAAATGTGAAATAATGAAACCGCTGCCCAAACATTCTCAATGAGACTGTGCCATATCCACCCAAATCCCCAGATCTCAGTGTAATCTTGGGATGTTGCCGACATCACGCCTTCACGACACTGCTCGTGTGGATGAGGCTGTTATTCTGGACGAGGTAACATGGCTCGGGGAACACCACGGCCCTTACCGATGGTAGAAACCTCTCATTTAGGATATCTACATAGGCATACCCCGTAAATCTGGTATGTCCAACAACTGTGCATCAAATCCCCAACGCCACTGCTGTACATTCACTCAAACTACCCAGCGATTTCCGACAGATTGCGTGCTGTTGCCAGGACGTGGCAACTAACTACCGGCCACACCCATTTTTCAAATAATTACATGTAAGGTGTGTTACCACTGAGTATCACATGGTTTTCATTAGCCAATGATATTCATGCATTTCAATGCAAGCTTTCTATTTTTCTTCCATTTAGCTCATTGACTTAGTTTCGAATGACATTTACTTGATCATATTCCTCCATCATGCATTGGGTGCCAACTTCTGGCCTTATCTCTGAAATCAGCGACATCAACTGGATCCACTAGAGAGACACGGCTGACTTTGAGATATCTAATCTTGATAATTCGGCTCTTGATAGTCCCTCAGAGTAAAGCGTAATTTTTGTGCTACAAATTGTCTATGAGGTCTCCATTGCTAATATTGGCATAATACGAGGCACTAGCCATAACTCTGAAGCACTATTCCAACAACTATATTGGTCTGAAATACCTATTTTACGTAAAAGTAATCCGAATGTTTGATGGTTACAGAGCAAAATAAATGCGATAGACATCAACCGTCATATAGCCCTATAGATAAGTGAAGTAGTAAAAGGGTAAGAGCGAGTTTGTGGATTAAATATGCTACCTGTCAAAAGTTGTATAGCGGTGCCACTATCCTGAACTGAAGGAAGAAAAGAAAGGTGAGGGTAGAGAGAGTGGATAAAGTAGTCATAAGGAATGCGAGATTCTACAAGGGTAAGGTAGGGATTAAAAGAGAAAATCCTGGGAAGGGAGCAGTAGAGATTGGAGTATCTGGATTTAGAAGGGTAAAAAAAGTGGACTGGGGAAAGTAGTAAGTAGAAGTGGAGAAGCAAGATAGGTATAGGGGAACGTCTTGGGAGGGAGGTGGAGGGCAGAGCAAGAGACATTATTGGAGTAAGGAGTATGAAAAAAAAGGCAACGTGCTTCCTGTCTGGCTTCACGTAAAGTAAATCCAAGTCTGAATCCGAGAGCTGCCACCTCAGACTTAAATTGTAGGTGGGGCAGCTCCTATAGAATACATTATGGGGCCATGGAGGAATTCTCTGGCAATGTAAACATTAAAAGGAAAGGTCATGTGTGCAGAAAATTTTGGCAATGTTAGTGGGGTTCTTACGATGACCTCTGGGAGAAATGGAGTAGCACTGTCCTGATATCACATCCATCCATGAGGCAGGCACGCAAGTCTTCTCCACAATCTGACCGATTTTTATTATAGATAGGGTAGTTTTGCTGTCGAGAATTCTGGTGCAAGCACTAAGGGTTGGATGAAGTTGTGCAGAAATGGTGTTAGATATCAGCAAGTTGATAATTCTATAGCTTGGTTTTCAGGTCGGGTCGGCTATGGAAAGACTTTTGAAAGCAATACCTTCAAAAACAGGTAGGCAGAATTGTCAGTAGGGAGCTGTGGGTGGGATCACGAAATACTGGGCCTATTTGGCTGGGCTAAATAAAAAAAATATTTGTAGAGGGGGCGCTTTGTGTGTGGAAGAGGAAGGGGGGGGGGGCGCGCTCTTTATGTGTGGAAGAAGAGGGGGTAGTAGTGTTGAGAAGGGCATTATGAAGGTGGACAATAAGGCTGTAAAATTGTATCAAAGGTGGGATGGGTTATTTGAGGGCAGCATTGAGGGGGGGGGGGTAGTTGTTGCAATGTTGAGTCATGGTCAGGAGATCCTGGGGTCAGGTAATATGTAGTGAAATTGTGGGGCTACTTAACGAGGGAGGGCAAGGCCTCATTGCCCCTAATAAGGGCCAAACCTTATTTGCCATGGTAAGCCTGGAGTATGTATAGAGCAATCCTCTATCCCTCAGGGTCCCCTTGAGGGATCAGTTTGACAACTAAACTAGGGGATAGTGTGCCCATGGCTACCTCAGGCCATTCAGGACTAGCACATTCAACCTTTCATGCTTTTAAGCATGGCTCTTGCAACTTAGGAAGTGGGTAGAAAGGGGTTGGGGGAAGGGACAAGCTGAAGAGGGAAAATACATGCAAAGTTAGTGCAGTCTAGTACAAGGCTGGGGAGTTCCCAGCACTAGGTCATTCTTTGCTTAGTAAGCCAATGGCTTACAAGAACCGATAGGGGTGGGGGTCTTTTCTGAGAAAAGATCCAGTTTAGGGAACCAAGACTACCAGATTAAAGGTTTACAAATTGTTTATCTTGTCTTGCTGCAAGACTTGCGAACCACATTAATAGTTAATGCATGCTAGGCAATTTCGTATTCAGTAACTAGGACATCAAACTGAAGTCTAGCTATGCATTAGTGCGTAGCCCAATTTTTTTTTTACTAATTAAGGGTTTCATTAAACAGGTTTTATCTAGTTTAAAAATTTCAGAAGGGGTATCCATGGTCAGTTATTGTGAAAGGAGCCCAAAAGGTGCAGAGTATGGTGCACCCATCATTGAACTTTTGGGGGGCAAGAACCAGACTATTAATATACCCATAGCCAGAGGACCAAGACAAGGGTGAGCCACTCCAGCATGGGGCAATTCCCCCCCCCTCTTTCAAAGAGTTTGCTCTCTCAACCATGATGTTTGTCATGCAACTAGGGGCACTTTTAAACCTTTTGAGGATTTTATCTGGATAATTAATCCATGCAGTGGGTAGTTGGTGGAAGTGGTTAAAGCTTGGAGGCAATTTCAGTAACAATTTAGTGAGGAAATTTTCAATGGAGATCATGTCTTAGTATGATAGTCTAGGCCTTGAGCACGACAGCCTGGAAGTCGTGTAAAACATGTATTTCAACCCTAAATCTATGCACAAGTCCAATCATTCATAGGGTTATAAAGACCATTAATTTAGATCTGAAGTTAGCAAGAATCGTTTAGACTTAAGCCCCCCCCCCCCCTCAAGACCCTTATGGGAGTTGCAGCCCTAAATTTGAGGGACGTCTACAGCAATATTGTACCCCTCGAGTAAGAGGGGCCTTAATCACATACACTTCCCCCCCCCCCCCCACTTCTGGTTAGTGGCTTTCTTTCAGTTTAATGTCTGACTACAGAGGCTAACTTAAGCACTAAGTGGACCCTAACCAGTTATGATGGTTGAGGAGTGGTTATGTTATGCAAATATAGTTCATTTTTAACTAATCCTTTGTCCATTTCCTGGGTTGCAATTTGAGCTAGCTCAAACCAGAGACCAATTGGCTGTGAAGTAGCATTTTTTTTTTTTTTTTTTGGTAATTAAACCCAGTGAGGAGTTCTAATTAAATATATTTTAAAAGATTAAAACTAAGGCCTGTAGACCGCTTCATATGCTCTTGCACTCCCTTCTAGGTGTCCACCTTCAACCTCACTGCCAGCGTACAGAAGGAAGGTGGTATTCTGGCCCGTATGGTAGAATGGGAATGAGAAGGGTTTCCGTGCAGGTACAGTTTTCACCTGGGTAGAAAGGAAAGTGGGGTATTTAAGATTCCATTAAATAGTTAGCAACAGTTTGTGATCAAGTATTCCAATTGTAGAATACGGGTTAAGAATCAAGCCTTCTTACCATCCTTTCGTGCATAAACTGCATTCCCTTCAAGACGTACACATGAACACCATGCTCTGTCTGGACGAAGAGACCCATTTCATACTTGGACACTTCTCCCAAGTTACTTGCCAAAGCACCAGGCACCTTCAAGGTCTGCAAGAGATGAGCATGTTAAGTTGCCAGTACACCACAGTTTATACCATACAAACTGGTTAAGCTTACTACTTACCTGCATTTTTTCCATCTCCACAGAACCAGACTTTATCATTGATAGTGAAGATGTCAACACTCCCGGCGGCAATAGGGGAGGTACGATGAGTTACTGCTACATAAGCTTCATTCTTGCCAGCCAGGGCATCAAGGTGTGAAGCCTTTTGTAGGTCATGGTTGAACTCCTAAGGGGTAGGCAGAAAATTAGTTTCCTCACCTAGTACAAGTAAGAAATATTCAGACAAAGCCATAGTGGCTAATGGCCATGGCCAAGACTAAGCTTACCAGAGCCATAGTGTTGACATCATATTTGAAGAGCTTCAAATTTGAGGAAGAGCTGAAGGAGTCATCCTCTAGCACAACTAGGTAAGTCTTCCCCAAGGTAAATGCAGCTGCCTGAAATGTTAAGAAGTCCTTACCCTCTGCATCTGGGAGACCTCCATCTCCTACATATTCAAAGCTACCATTCCTTACCTCAACTGCACGACTAGTTCCCAGGTAGTTCAGTAGCTGGTAGCCCATCTGTGGAGTTCCACAGATCACTGCAGAGGAGGTTTCATGATCAATCACTGCCAAGCAATCCTTACCATTACTCAGGTGGAATGGCTGTAGGGGAGAAGGGGATAAGAGCCGGTTAAAACCTCTCCTTGAATGTATGCAAACTTATCATCAAAGCAACCATTTTAATCAGGGCCTACCACTAGGTCTCTGCAGGATATGGTACTGAAGGAACCACAGTCTCGACTGCACTACTTAGGAAGAAGATGTGGCCATACGAGGTTCCCTGGCCCAGCTCATCTGAAATCTATACAAGATTTTAGATTTTTTTTGTATAGTCCGTTACTATTCAAGGTAGAGTGGGGGCTTCAGTAATCCCATACTGTTGATAGGTTGGTGCAGCTGTATATGGGAAAGTTACAAGCGAGTTGCCACATACAGCCAAGTGGCTATTTCCCAAGCCTGCAGCTACCGTTGCTTTAGGAACGGCAACAGTGCCTGAAACCAAAGCCATTTAATGTAGAGGCACAGTCTACACTTGACCTAGACTTTAGAAGGTAACAGTTTAAAAGTATAGAAGACTACACACTTGTTGGTGGGAAAGCTGTCATCATATCCAAGTGTTCCTTTTCCTCACAGAGGTCCTTTAGTTCATCAGCCAAGGACTTCCTACCAATCTCTGGCCCATAAATCTGGAGACTTGCATCATCCCAGTTCAGGCCAACAAGGCATCAATGGAATGGTGTCCCAAGGATTCGACGCCTAGGAAAGGTAAGTAGCAACCTTTAAGAATCTTGTGCCCAC